GCATCCGTGTGACCTGGATGTAAGATGTGGAGTCAGAGGGCATCCTTTTGGAACATTAAGGTTTAAAGACTTCCCTATTGGATTTTGGACTTGCATGGGTCCCATAGCCCCCTTTTTTTGGCCAATTTCTCCCATTTGGAATGGATGTATTTACCCAGTGCTTGTACTCTTGTTGTATCTGGGAAGTAACTAACTTGCTTTTGATTTTATAGGCTTATAGGTGGAAGGGACTTGCTTTGTCTTAGATGAGACTTTGGACTTGGATTTTTGGGTTAATCCTGGAGTGAGTTAAGATTCAAGGGAACTATTAGAAAGGCATGATTGTGTTTTGAAATGTGAGGACATGAAATTTTGGTGGGGTTAAGGGTGAAATGATATGGTTTGACTATTCCCCCACCCAAATGTCATCTTGAATTGTAGTTTCCATAATCCCCACATATTATCTGAGGGAACTGGTAGGAGGTAATTGAATCATAGGGGTGGTTACCCCCATACTGTTCTCTTTATAGTGAGTGAGTTCTCATGAAATCTGATGGCTTCATAAGGGGCTTTCCCCTCTTTGCTTGGCACTTCTCCTTGTCACCATGTGAAGAAGGACGTTTGCTTCTCCTTCTACCATGATTGTAAGTTTCCTGAGGCTTCCCCATTCCTGCAGAACTGTGAGTCAATTAAACCTCTTTTCTTTATTGATTACCCAGTCTTGGGCACTTCTTTACAGCAGTGTGAGAACACAGTAATATAATTATTTTGGCTTTTCAGGGTCCCTTAATATTTTTTACAGGAAAACTACTGGCATGCATGATCTTACTTGTGTTTTACCTTATCAAATTTTGAACACATTACATTTTTTATAAATTTTGTCACAAAGATTTGTGACAACCTGCAATGAGCAAGTCTGTTAGTCCTATTTTTCCAACACTGCATGCTCACTTTGTGTGTCTGTGTCACATTTTGATAATTCCTGCAATATTTCAGTATTTCAATCTTTTTCATTATTATATCTGCAATGGTTATCTGTGATCAGAGTCTTCGATGTTGCTATTGTAATTATTTTGAGTACCACAAACTGTGCCCTTATAACATGATTAACCTAATAAATGTACGCATGCTGACTGTTCTGTCAACCAACTGTTCTCCCATCTCTCCTTCTCTTGCCTCCCTGTTTACTCCCTATTCACTTCCTTGTGTTACTGAGACACAATAATATTGAAATTGGGACAATTAACCATACAGTGGTCTTTAAGTGTTCAAGTGAAAGAAAGCATTGCATATTTGTCACCTTAAATAAAAAGCTAGAAAATGATTAAGCTTACTGAGGAAGGCCTGTTGAAAGCTGAGACAAGCCAGGAGGTAGGCATCTTGCAAACAGTTAAGCTATGAATACAGTGGAAAAATTCATGAACTCATGAATGATAAGAAAGAGAAACTACCTTATTGCTGATATGGAGAAAGTTTTAGTTGTCTGGATAGATCAAATCAGCCACAACATTCCTTCAAGTCAAAGTCTAATCAAGAGTAAGATCCTGTTTCTTTTCAATTCTGTGAAGGCTGAGAGAGGTGAGGAAGCTGCAGAAGAACATTTGGAAGATAGCAGAGGTTGTTTTAATGAGGTTTAAGGTAAGAAGCCATAACATAAAAGTGTATGATGAGCTGTGCAAGTTATCTATATCTAGCAAAGATAGTTGATATAGGTGGGTACATGAAATAACAAATTTTCAGTGTAGGTGAAACAGCCTTCTGTTGAAAAGATGCTATCTAGAACTTTTCATAGCTGGAGAGAAGTCAATGCCTGGCTTTGAAGCTTCACAGGACAGGCTCACTCTCCTAAGAGAATAATGGAAACTGGTGACTTTAAGTTGAAGCCAGTGCTCATTTACCATTATGAAAATCCCAAGTCCCTTAAGAATTACACTAAATCTACTCTACCTGTTCTCTATAGACAGAACAACAAAGTCTGGGTGACAGCATATCTGTTTATAGCATGGTTTACTAAATATTTAATGTGGGTCTCCCATGTATGTTCAGAGGATCTCTAGCATTATAAGAGAATTCTTAAAAGATCCTTCCTGGATAACCTCATTTCTGTTCCTAGCTTCTGCTGAAAAGATTGATTGGATCTGTTAGTCACACACCTAATCTTTTCAGAAAAGGTTTTTCAGCCACATCCCTGGTCCTTCCCCAGAGCATGCTTTATCATCTTTTACGATTTAGATAGGTTAAGAATTTTCCAAATCAGACTTTTATTGGCTTAACAATTTCTTCCTCAGTTTATTTCTTTTCTCTCACATTTTATTCTAAGCGGCTAGGAGGAAACAGTATACACTTTAACACTTTGCTTGGAAATCTCCTCAGCTACATATTCAAGTTAATTGCTTACCAGGTTCTAATTTTCGCCATATAGTAGAACATATTTCAGTCAAGTTTTCTCCCACTTTACAATGAGGACTGCTTTTTCTTTCCAATGTAATGTTCTTCTTTCCTTCTTGAGACTTCATCAGAAACCTTTTTAATGTTCCTGTTTCTACCAATATTCTGTTCATGATAATATATGTATTCCTTAACGTAATAGAAGCTTTCTTTACCGCTTCTCTTCCTTCTGAGCCCTCAGCAGAATTCTCTTAAGATTTCTTTTTCTACCAAAAATGTCTTCAAGGCAATCTATCCTTTTTCTATTTTTAGGTATCTATTTGCAGCAGCACTCCATTTTTTGTATGGAAATCTATGTGAGTTCTCTAAAACTACCATAACAAATGAAAAAAATCTTGCTGGCTTAACATACAGAGATTAATTTTCTCACAATTTTGGAGGTCAAAAACACGAAGTCAGGTGTCAGCAGTGCCATGTTTATTTTGAAAACTAAAGGAGAATCCTTTACTTCTACAGCTTCTGGTGGCATGTTATTCCTTGCCCTGAGTCAGTGTGACTCCAGGCTGCCTTCATTTTTACATTATTCTTTTCTCTGTATCTTCCTATGTCCTTTTCTGTCTCTAATGAGGACATTGTCATTGGATTTTGGGGTCCTTTCTAATTGTAGTATGATCTCACGTTGGTCCTTACCTTAATTACATCTGCAAAGACCCTTTCTCCAAATAAGATTATATTCTGAGGTTCCAGGTGAACATGAATTTGGGTAGGGGAGGCAGGAAGGGGGAACATTTCTCAACTTAGTATAGTCTCTTTTTAGGTAATTATATTATAAATGGTATTATATAATCTATGTACAAATTTTAAAAATTTCAAGGCTTGTGAGTAATTATTATGACATTATTTTACAGCATATTAATACCTTTAATGTTAATACTTAGAGAGTGCTGAACAGGAAGATCACTTTTCTTCTCAGACTTTATAATATGTATTAGAAGTAGGGGATTATTTAATGTACTTTGGCTTTTTTAATGTGGATATTGCACATTACATGTACACACATATGAATAAATTGCGCTAAAGTTCTATTGATTTAGAGAAGTTGGTTACTCAATATTTAGTCACATCAATGTAGTAAGATCCTAAATTACCTAAATTAACTCTTTATTAGAAACTGGTTGTCTTCAGTTTTTTTGTAATGAGTGTGTGAGATTAAATTTCCTTGAAATTTTCACCTTTCAAGATAGAATTTAAAGCAAGTTCTTTAATTGAATAACTTAGAGGAAAAATTGTTATGAATAACATATAATTTAAGTATATTTACTGTCTCTTCCAATTATGTGAGATTTTTAAGATTGTTAAGATCAAACATGGTGCTTGTTAGGTGAATGAAAGGATATATTTAAACAGACTATTGTTAAAGGAGAAAACTCATTTTTAAAGGTACTGGGATAAAAGAAAAAAAAGTGGTAGGGTCATAAAGAGAAGAGATTGAATTAAAAATTTGGATTAATACAGAAATGCATTACAAAAGAGAAGGAAGATAGATTGGCAGAAATGAGGAGTTATCAGAAAAGTGAAATGTTTAAAGGCAAAGGCAAGAGATAGGATAAGAAGACTAATGAGAGCAAAAGATGGTAAGTAATGCAATGAATAGTTTACTGCTAAAGAGTAGAAGATTAATATATCAGAGTTTCTTTCAGCTTCAGTCAAATTAATAATTATTAGAGTGTAACCATATTCCTTGTATCATTCACCCAAGTCAAACTACTTGTGTCATTTTGCCAGAAAATAGGAACCATTTTACATATCCTTTAAATTTCAAGTAAATATTATATTATTTATATATTAATAACATTGATATGTGATATTATATATGTAATTATATATATTTAATAGTGAATATGCATATATTATCTTGCTTTAAAGGCAAAAATTTGCTTTTTCTGGTAGACACTGAAAGGTCACATGCAAACACACTAAAAGCAAACTTTAACATTTCAAATGAAAATAATTTTTTTTTCTCAATCATAAGAACTGACCTAGAATTATTATAGTTGACAATGAGGCAGGTTTTGACATCCAAGTCAGTATCAAATATATTGTTTTGGCTTTATCGTATTATAACTGGTTATGAGGTTTTTTTACAGTATCACCACATTCCTCATATTCAGTGCATATCTAATTAGGCTTATATCACCAGCATTGCGATCTGCTTTTCTACTCCTTTTTTTTTCTTTAAAATTAACCTCAGGTATTCATGGTAACCTGTAGAAGTTAATGTTTGTATCCTCTCTATATCTCACTTTAGAAGAGTTTAATGAACTGTTGATGGTTGCTTTGTCAACCCATTTAACTTTTGGACCATCGTTCTTTCTAGGTTGATATCATATAATCTATTAGCTATTACTTTCTTCTTTGATCTAAATTCTTTGGTGAATAAAGGACATTAATACACCCTTTTTTTAAGTTACTTTTTCCAAAGTGTCATCAAATTCCTGAATTCAAGATCTCATGGACCCATTAAGGGGAAGATGTACCTTTGCAATTTTCATTCAGTCATAGTATATGCTATTTCAACTCAATATGGTTGAATAAAAGCCTTCACCTAATATAATTTTGATTTCCTGCTTTAGGATTCCTGAAATCATGGATCACCCACATACGCTTTGAGACATGCTTCTTTTTTTTTTTTCTGGAAGCCCTGTGACTTCCCTAAAAATTGAGTGAATAATTATAGAACAGATTACGGTAAGTGAGCTTTTCCCTCCTTTTTTTTCTGTCGGTTTCTTGTTCAACTTAACACTTATGACTGTTGTAATACTGCTCCCTGCTGGACACAATGTAATTTTGTAAAGTTGGCATTTAATAGGTGGGCAAATAACTAGTTAGTTGGACCCACTAAGGAGAGGAATCCTTGGCTGCATTCACAAAAACCAATAGTATTCAACAAAAGCAGCTATTATTATAAAGATGCTATACCATTGCCACCATATTGATACCTGGAGCCTGATGAAAGTACTGATAGCTTTGTTTCAAAATTTCATTGTCTGCTTCCTGTTGAGCAGTATCTAAAAGTTGTAATAACGGTACACATTGAAGGATGCTTCTAGGTGGTGGACTTTGAGGATTTTGTAAATCATGTGGTTTTTTTGGTAATGTAAATTAATTTCCTATTATATCTTCTGTAATAATTTCCATTCCCTTTACTTTTGTTTTACCAAAGAAAATATATAAAGCTGCTCTAGTGTAATTTACATTAGACATTGTATATGTATGCTATAATCCAGCTATTGTGTTTTCTAGTACTCACAGTGTGGATTTCATCTGTAGTGTCTGTGACCTACCAGTCATGGACCTTCATATTGTGTGCATATAAAAGTGCTCCCAGAATTATTTAAAAATGTGTGAAAATTAAAAGTGTGTTTCTTCCTACCTTAGAACAAAACTATTGTATTTTTTGGAATACAGCATGCCTCACATTATTACCTGAATTATCATTTGGAATTTTTTTTTTTAATAAGCATACATTTTTTTGGAAAGAAGGAAGAGTGACAGAAACAACATGGAGCTGTTAAGCCAAGATCTAGCAGGATAACTGATCTTATACTATTTAAAGGCCTGGTATTTCTTTGTAGCCATTGAGTAAGCCTCTGAAATCCACTTTTAATTAGGATTGTGGAGAATTAGGCATAGTAACTGATTTCTTTATTATTAAAATATTGCAATAAAAGTTAGAAGTGTAGAGCAAGGAAATTGTTGATAGCAGAAAGGAGTCCTTCCTTTTTTATAAAAATATATTAGTGTTATTTTAGAAAGTATATAATTATAACTTTTTGTTGTAAAATGTAGTGATACCGTAACATAATGTATAATAATGAATAATTATAAATTAAACATATAGCAAGCATGTATGTAACCACAACATTTTACTGGCATCCCAGAAACCCTTGATATACTCTTCCTTTTCTTTAGAAGTAACTAGTATCATGACTTTTATGGTAATTATTTATACAACTTTCAATATAATTTTGTCACTTTACATGTATTCCCAAGCAATATGTTTACTTTTTTGCCTCTTTTTATGGAATTGTGTATTCTTTCTTCCTTTACTCAGCATTATGTTTTGAAGAGTTATCCATATAGTCATTTGTAGTTTTACTTCATTCATTTTCATTACTATGTACTGCCCCTTTGAATTAAATGTGCCAGAATTTATTCATCCATTCTACTGTTGGTAGATCATTGAGTTGATTTTAGTATTTGATGACATTGTTGAGAGTGTTTTTTTAAAAAATATCCTGGTTACATATCATGTGTTTTTGTTTTTTTAATCTGTCAGGTGAGTAATTTATTTTGGCTAGAAAATATTTAATTCAGTATCACAGGGTAATGGATTATAGTGGTATTTTAAGTGAGTTAAGATGACTACATGAAAAATTTGTTATATCCTGACAGTAACAATATTAAATGTTGGGGAGGATTCTAAAATGATTATCATTTCTTTTATTGTAGGCCTTACATATATAGTAAAATGACATATAGTAGTTTGAGATAGTTTAAATATAGAGTACATACAGATAGACCTAGTTATAGCATTGATGTAGATACAGGACCTAATGCAGTCACTCTTTGTTTCACTTTGTTAGCACACTCATTCTATTTAATAACATTTATGCCTTCTATAACTCCTTCACTTTACTGATGAAGAAACTAAGGAGGACTAGAGAGATAGAGTCACTTGAACAAGGTCATGCAGCAAATTGGAACTAAGAAACCAGACTAACATATCTACTTTGGCAGTTAAAACTTAAAGTAAAATGAAATCAGGACATTTTCTTGAGTGAAAATTTGTCTACATAACTTGCAGAAAAAATCAGATATTCTTTTGGCTGTTGACTAAAAACTAACTTAGCGTAGAAAGTTGCATGTCTATGGCAAGGAGAAATCATTACAAAAAAAAAAAAAAAAAAACGGGGAAAAAAAGTTGCTGTCTAAAGCCCCCATAGTGTTATTTTACATTATCACAGTTCATCTTCTAAAGACCAACCACTGTATATTCTGATTTTAACTGAGACATTTTACTTTGAGTACTTCATTCATTAGAAAAATGAACAGCTTTGTTTTCTTAAACAGAATACATTTTAAATTTTTTTAATGGCTCTGAGTTGTTATTGTGAACATCAGTCATTTGATAGAATTAAAATAAAGTGATTTCCTCAGAATCGTATGCTATGTTTGACTGTTTTCTTCTAAATTATCGTAGCCTGATAAGCTTTTACGTCCTCAGAGCCACTGTGATGTATTTTCTCTTTTGTTTTATTTTACATTTCTTAGGTAATTCTTGCTTTTTGTTGTCAGTGCATTCTGTTTGACTCATATTTAAAATCAACGCATTTGCCTAACATTATGTATTACTTATGTCCGAGCTTAAGTATGGTTCTGTCACATCTGCTGACTATAAGAGCAGAGAATTTGTGCTAGCATTTTAAAATTCATTTTAGTATCAGCAACTAGTTTAGCCACTTTGTTTTTACAGGATATTGAGATCTCAGACTGATTTCTGTCTGGCTGATTTCTGTCTGATATATATGCAACATAGGTTGCCTATCTTTATTTGGGGAATAAAAATGTTCATTTACATGTTTTCTAGCAAAACAGTTGTAGACTATTGAAACTGATTTACTTAAGGATGACATCAAATAGGAAGTTCAGTGGACTTAAGTGTTTGTTTTCTAAGATTTAAATATTTGATAGGATAGACATTGAAATAAAAATAACACATTGGATGATACTGCCTATTAAAAATGGTGATCATAAAGATTAGATCTCCTTTGAAATTATGGCTTTAAAAATATAGTACAAGTAACAGATTTGATTTCATGAAAACATTTAAGTGTTTTAGGAAAACATTCATTTAGAAGTAAAATGCATTTGACTTCTTATCCATATATAAAGTACTGAATGTGAAGTTTTTAAAAAGCAGGAGTAGGGAATATATTTGTTTTTAGAGCGCAGGAAATATTGGAAAGACAAATAGTTGCTATCCCAGCACATTTAGGCATTAATATGCTGATTTACTGAGTTTATATGAGGTTTGTTTTTAAATTTGAGAATTTATTTGCTTTTAAACTTACTAAGTCAACAAACTTTACATTTGCATCTGGGAAAAAATTAACCAAGAGCTTTATGGAATTTATTGCAGTGAGCATGTCTTTTGAAATTGCCTCATGAACAAAGTATTTTAGAGGCCTGAAGAGAGACTTTTTTCAGGATAAATCTGAGATGTATATGTTGTGGAAGTGCAAAATGATGCAACTCCTGTGAAATATGAATTGTTGATTTCTAGAAAAGGACCAATGCATTTACCTCATCTCAGTACCAGTTTTGGGAATTTATTACAGAAATTCTTGTGTATACTTAGAAAATAACATGTATAGGAGTCTTCATTGTAGCTTTTTGTGTGGTAGCAAAAGATTGGAAATCATTAGTGTGTCTATTGGTAAGGTGTTGGTTAAAAGAATTAAGACATAACTATATAATGAAATACTCTACAGCTGTTAAAAAAAAGAGGATTTTTTTCTATATGCAAATTTGGAAAGTTTTTACATACCATTGTTATTTGGAAAAAGCAGAATTCAAAACAAAATGTATACTAAACCATTTTTTGTGTAAATTGAGAGGGGAGTAAAACCACATATTCATATTTGCTTATTTTTACATTAAAAAATCTGGAGGTGTGTACAAAATCTAAATCTTTGTGGGAATTAAGAAGAAAATAGAAAATGGGACTTTTACTATGTATCTTTTAAATTTATTTTAACTTTTGAATATGTTAATATGTTAGTGGTTAAAAATAGTTTTATTTGTAAATCAAATGAGACTAAAAGAAAGGGGTAAGCCTGCTATATTTTCTGTAAACTTAGCTGTTTTGTGTTCTGTTTTCCCTTCAGCCTGGCAGATAGTAAGCAGTGAATAAATAAATATTTGTTATACAAATGAAACAATGAACTCTAGCTTATCTCTTAAAGCATCTTTTCAATATTAGAAAAAAGTATTATAAATCATGTTGATTCTAGCAGAGAAACAAGGGAAATATTTAAGTGGTAGATATGAGATGTATAGTTTATTATCAGATTGTCATGAGGCTTTATTTAATTTGTATAGTATTGATATTAAAGAGTAAATTATATTTTCTAAAATTTCACTGAAAAATTAAAATGAAAGTTTTCAAGGAATTGCTGTTAAGTAATATACATTCATGATTAACAAACTAAACCTTATGCATTTAGGATGAAGAGCGAAAACAGCAAGCATATATTTTGTATACCACCTTATCTTCTGTACCACTTTAGTTTCCTACGTATAAGGGCAAATTTTCAGTCCTGAGACTATTTTAAGAGCTCTGTTATAATAGCAGTATCAGTTACTCCCAACAGGAACACTAGATATCTCTGAATACATGATTGGATTCAGGGGAAGATAATAGGGTGAATGACTGTTATAAGTGTCTTTCATTTATAAACATCCAAGAAGTTAGCTATTTAGTTGAAAATTTGGTTATTCAAATAGATATGGTAAGAACCCTCAGTTTTCTCCCTTAGATTATATACATGTCAGTTTCTAGATTTCTCATGACAAGGATTTTGACTACCTTTGTTTATCTGTGTGTTTTTATGTAAAAGTGCCTTCTTTAAAAAAAGCTAAACATACAGAAAAGTGCACACATTGTAAGTGGATAGCTTAATGAA